TGTTTAGATAGTTTTGTTTATATCAAATATGTTTCTCACTGTTTCGTCTTACTACTTATGTTTTGAGGCTAGTATTTCAAAACGTATTTCAATTAATTAAAAGTACAGGATTTTCAATGATATTTTAAACAAACTAAACCTGCAACGGTATCTGACGGTAAGAACCATTGACTGTAAAAGTAACGATATTTTTCTTCAAAATAAAATAACTTTTGAAACGTTAGTAACATAATTTAAATATTATTTCTCTTACTGAATTTTATGGAACTTACCCAAATCTATTTCTCCCAAAAGATTTTTAGAGAAAATAAACTTTTAATTTTTAATTATTTGTTTTGTTTACATTTAGAATATATATAGACTAATTATTCTTATTATATTTGAACTCTAATTATAGCATATAATTATATTATTAGAACTCTAAATACTATAGTATTCTACTTAACATAAAATCTTTATCAACACTCCTCCTCAAGTTGGTGCAAAGATATCACACATGCCCAACTTGCAAATCAGGTTCTGAAGAGATTTGTTGCATAATCCTTTAGTGAAAATGTTAGCCACTTGGTCGGCAGAATATACATGATATAAGCATAGAGAGCCACCAACTACCTTCTCTTTTATGAAGTGTCGATCAATCTTAATGTGTTTTATCCTGTCATGTTGAACTGGATTATGAGTAATGTTAATTGTTGCTTTATTGTCACAAAATAGGGATAGTTTCTTATTTTTAAGCAGTTTTAACTCCCTCATTAGCTTTTGCAACCATAGTACTTCACATATTTCTTGCGCCACTGCTCTATATTTTCTCTCAGCACTGGAGCGAGCAACTACACTTTATTTATTACTTTTTCATGTGACTAAGTTGCCTCCTACAAGTGTGCAGTAACCTGTAGTTGATCTTTTATCATCTAAGGAATCAGTCCAATCGACATCTGTAAATGTTTCTATTTTAAGATGACCAGCCTTAGAAAAGAGCAGACATTTTCCCGATGCAGACTTCAGATATCGTAATATGCGGAAGACAATATGTAAATGAGTCTCACGAGAATCATGCATGTACTGACTCACAAGACTAACTGCATATACTATATCGGATTTGGTATGTGAGAGATAAATGAGTCTTCCAACTAGTCTCTGATATCTTCCCAAATCAACCTGCTTGCAGTTTGTGGTTGCTCTCAATAGGTGATTCTGCCGGCTTACAACCCATCATATCAGTCTTTTCTAGTAAATCTAGGATATACTTCTTTTGAAAAATGAAAATCTCTTTATTGGATCTAACAACTTCAATTCTCAAGAAGTATTACTATGTTTCTAAATATTTTATTTCAAACTCTTGAATAAGATGTTCCTTCAACTGAGTCATCTTCTTTGTATCATCTCTAGTCACCACAATATCATCCACATAAATAATGAGAAGAGTGACTTTATCCTTACGATATTTAATAAACAAGGTATGATCCGCATTATTTTGTTGATATCCAAAAGAGATCATAACTGTTTTAAACCGTTCAAACCATGCTGTTAAAGACTCCATGGAGGAATACATTTTTTACATCAAACTGCTGTAAATCCCAATTAAGGTTAGCTGCGCAAGACAAAAGTATCCTAATTGTGTTCATCTTCGCAACAGGTGCAAATGCCTCCTGATAGTCAATCCCATAAGTCTGAGTAAATCCTTTAGCTACCAATCTACCTTTGTACCTTTCGATCGATCCGTCTGCTTTGTGTTTTACAGCAAACACCCATTTGCAACCAACTATCTTCTTTCCCTGTTGAGGTGAAACAAGTTTCTATGTTTCATTCTTTGTTAATATTCTCATTTCTTCAATCATGGCTTTCTTCCACTTGGGATTTCCTAGAACTTCTCTCCAATCCTGTGGAATAAACACAGAGAAAACAGACAAGACAAAAACTCTATAGAAGAAAGATAGAGAGTAATAGGAAACAAAATTAGATATAGGGTACTTAGTACAAGTTCTTTTTCCCATTTCTAATAGCAATAGGTTCATATGATAAATCACAAAAGAAGGATAACTCACCAGTATCTTCTGGAACCAAAGAAGATTCTTGACCTGAGATAAACTACATAATGATTTTTTCAGAATTCTCTCTCCTTGAATACTTTTTCAAATATGATTTATCTAGATGTCTAACATTATTTTCTTGATTAAGACTTTTTGTAATAGAATTCTCTCTATATTTTTTCAGCAGTGTTAAGCAACAGATATATTATGTCAATATAGGGTTGCATGGAATTTATGAGTCATGACATTACCAATGAGCTCTCAGAGTCCCATCTATTATATTCTGAAGTACAAACATATGGTTTCTTCACCTCACCAATAATGTAACCATACAATCCTTTAAATTTGATGAACAATGAAAAAGATCTCGACCAAGTAAGATAATTAGTTCCATCAAGTTTTACGGAACTGATTTGTAATGAAAGATTATCAAAACTAGTAACACTCACCTTTTTTGCTTATGTCATTTTAGAATGCTAAAAATAAGAAAAAAAATACCCAGTAATGAAAAATGGACCTCCTATCTGTGCCAAGGAGCAAAAAAAACCAGAATCAGATCTGGTTCGGCTCTAAACGGCTCGGGTTTAGTTCTAAAACCGCTCAAAGTCAGCTTGGCTCGTCTTCTTCGGATAAATCTCTGAACATGCGCAAAAAAAGGAAATGGTATGGCCTTTTTTACCTGCATTTATTAATGTGCAGCTATAATTTTTTACTAGTGTTTCTGGATGTGCGGCTTAAAGTTTTATCAGCGTTTCTGAATCTGCGGCTGCAACCTTTTTACTGGCGCTTGAGGATGTGCAAATGCAACTTTTTACCAGCGCTTATGGTTGTGCAGTTGTATATTATTACCGACGCTTTCGGAGGTGCGGCTGCACTTTTTACCGATGCCTGCAAATGTGCAGCTTTAGTTTTTACTGGCACCTGCGAATGTGCGGCTGTAGCTTTTTACCGGCGCTCTGATACCATGAAGATTTTTAGAGAAAATAAACTTCTAATTTTTTATTATTTGTTTTGTTTACATTCAGAATATATATATAAACTAGTTATTATTATTTTATTTGAACTCTAATTATAGGATATAATTATACTATTAGAACTTTAAATAATATAATATTTTACTTAACATAAAATTCTTATCAACACCCCTAGATGATGAAGAAAGTGAATGATTGCTCCCTGAAACTTCTTTGGATCCATTCGCGAACTAATAGTGGACATTTGAGTACATGTGGAGGATTGTACTTTGATGAACAATTATTTTGTAATGAAAGAAGTGGGTAGAACAACGTCTGAATATGTTTTGTTATCCAACTTCTTGGCCTTAGATGTGTATGAATACCATATTTTGTAGGAATGAATTTTACTTCTACTATATAATTATATTATGCACTCATATATGTTATGTCATTGGACAATGTTATCCCACCAAGTACCGAGATGTCACATGAAGACTTTTCTTTAGATAGCTGCCTAGTCACGTGACAGAGATTTAGAGGGTTGAACAGAAGCCCACAATAGTCACATAGTCCAATCTGGTCACGCTGACAACCAACCGAAATTGCACACTACAAACATAGAGCTGGGAAACAGAGGGAATTATCTCATACTACACCAAATTGGACTTCTCCACCTACGATGGGAAACAAAAGATCCTTTGATGTGCCTCCATTGATGTGAGCAATTCTTTACTAATCAACAGACTGTCGCCTCTAATAAAGTTAGTATAGCAGTTTTTCACATGTTAGGTGAAGTCCAATTTTGATACTATAAACTACAGCAAAAAGAGTCAGATATGGCATAGAAAACGTTTGCGGAGTATTACACCCTACAGTTTGGACCGCTCTTACAAAGCAACCCATTAGACAAATTGATTTTGAGTAACTTTATCGAGATCAGAAGCAAATTGTGCAAAAACTTCTAATTCGGCGATTGAGCCAATTTCAAGTTTAATTTACCAGCTACTTGTTTCATAACTTTAATTTGAGCTATAGATCCTACTCTGGAGACCAAAATACCTACATTAATAACAAGTCTGATTCCAACATTAAATAGATTGGTGGATAAGAAT